CTCACTACTAGATCGGACTCATAGTGATCCACCTGTTTACAGCCTCCCAAGAGCTGGGATTACGGGCATCCTCCACCATGCCCAATCTCAATTGCTGTCTCAGTGCACCCTGGGGATGGAACAACAGGCCTGGGGATCGAACTCCTGACCCTTGCACCTACTTGCAAATGCTTTAATCTGCTGAGCTATATGGTTGGTCGGTCCCCTCAGCTTCTTTCCACCAGGTGGTAAATCAGCATGCCAGTGTCTCTCCTGATTTCTCTCCCCCAGCCCCAACTTCACAACCTCCTGGCATCTAATTGTCAGCTGGTTCTTGTGTCCCTCACCTCAGCCTCCATCTTCTAAGCAGCACCTTTGGGAACAGCTGGGCAGGTTATGCTAAAATCTTCTACCCGTTGAAGATTACAGTTCCGGCCTGGCACCTAGAGTCCTAGTACTGTGGGAGGCTGAGGCAAGAGAACCACAGATTTCAGCTCCACATAGGCAACTTAACCATTGGACAAGACCTTGTCTCAAAAGGGGCGGGTGGTGGACTCAGGGGTGTAGTTGAGTGTGAATTCACTCTCTGCTACCCCCAAATAATCATATAAATAATAATTGTAATTCCACAGTGAGCACACATTCAATAGTTACTGACAGGAAAATGCTACCCAATCAAGCAGGCGCTCCCGGGCCAGGCCCTCACCTGGTGAAGCAGACCTCGTGGGCGCACTGCCTGACTGGCCGGTGCACGGAGTACAGTCGTGTGCAAGCGAACTTCTCATCCCGGCACTCTGAGGGAGCCCAGCACAAAGCACAGAAGTCAAAATCAGGACAGCAGAAGGACAGCCTGGGAGGGCTAGGGAAAGGCGATGGAGTGGGGAGGAACAACCGACGGTCTCGGAAGAGGCTGCTGCAGCCAGGGCATGTGCTCCCTACTCCCCAAAAGCAGAAGAGGAAGGCAGAGGAAGAAACTGACTCAGATGAAATTTAGGTGGTTCCCTACCTGCAAGCAGAGGTGCAGAAAATAACCTCTAAGAGCTTTTCTAGGAAAGAGTCTTTCTAAGATTATTCAGATTGCAATATGAAATATTAAACCAAAAGGCTTTCCCGGCACCCCAAAATAAATAAACAAATAACTGAAAGACTGGTGGTCTTGTTCTGGGGAATGAGCCTTCCTGGCAGGCCCCTATGTCTCCCTTCCAGGTGTGGGGTTGGGGATTTGGCTCAGCGGTAGAGTGCTTGCCTAGCAAGCTGGAAGCCCTGGGTTCAGCCCTGGGCACCAAAAACAAAACAAAACAAAAATAAAATAAACCTCCCCTAAAAAACAATTCAACAACAACAACAAAAATACAGTAAAATCCCTTCCAGCTGTTTTCTACCCCAGCTGCAGATCAGAATGATGGGTGCTTGGGGGAAGCGCTTGTATGCCTGATGTCTAGGGTAATGTGAGTCCTTGTCAAATTGATTTTATTTCCCAATCTATTCATCACCAAATAGAGTTCAGAGGTAGGATAGGGAGAGGCTGGGAGACCATTCATCAGTGGTCTCCCCTTTCCCCAGTGGTTTTTAGGGCAGGGATCACCTGAAACAAGCCTACGAACAGAACTGAGGGCAGGGAGAGAACCGCACTACAAATGCTTTTTGAGAAAGAATTAGAAATGAACTAGACGGTGAGTGAAGTACACTAAAGAACAGGGAGGTGAGGAACCCACGGGAGGAAAGAAAAGCCTGAGAAAAAGACATGCAAAATGTGACCATACCTGAGGTGGTGTTTTTATCACTGGCCAAAACTGGAAAGCAAAAAATTTGTTCGGTTAGTACCAGTCCTAGAAGTCACCATGTGTACCTGTGAATTTGTTTCACTTGGGACCTCTTTCGGGTAATTATAAATAGGGGACAAATGAGTTAATGACTCTCAACAGATTCTGAAAACCCCTACAGGGTGATTTAATCCACAGAATTTAAGAGATGGAGTAATGCTAGGATGGGATTTTGCCTTTCTGCTTTGTTCCTTGGAAAGTTGAAAAATTCACTGTATAGTGAGTATCTTTGTATTGTTCATAAGAAGAAAAATGAAAGTGGAGTGTGTAAGAGCCGGCAAGATAGCTCAGCAGACTAAGTGCCTGCTTTGATAAGCACCCCGTCCCGCATGCTGTGCTGGCTCCACCTCACCAGGGCACACCGAGTCAGTGACTGAGTCCAGGTGTGGTGGCATATGCCTATAATCTCAGCACTGGGGAGGCTGGAAATAGGAGGATCACTACGAATCCGAGCTGCATAGTGAGAACCTGTACCAAATACATTAAAAAAAAAAAAAAAGAAGAAGAAGTGGAGTGTGGTGTTATACACCTGAAGTTCCAGCACTCTGGGAGGCAGAGACAGGAGGATTGCAAGTTCAAATCTACTCTGGGCAACTGAGTGACTTAGATTCTGAATGAAGGTAAAACATGAAATGGGGTTAGCACCCAGGGAGATGGCTCAGTAGAATAAGCACTTGCCAGGCAAGCGCAAGGGCCTGAGTTCAATCCCCAGTTCCACAAAAAAAAAAAAAAACGATTATTTGCCCAGTGGGCTGGAGAGATAGCTCAG